TTGATTCAGTGTAAATATTTTTTGTAAAACACTGAAAGAAATAATAATACTGTGAAACAAAGTGTCATTCTGGTTTGTCTGTCTCTTTGCCTGTCCGTTCTTTCATTTTTCTTTTCTTTGCTCATCTTATTTCTTCTTCTACTTCACATGCTCATGCTCTTAGTCAATAGTTCTGTGATAATATATAATATTCTATTTGACGATATATATAATATCTACGTAGCACCGTGTTCGCGTTCGGAGGAGAACGCGAACATGTTCGCCCGAACGCGAACAAGCGCCTAAAACCCTCCGAACGCGAAATAAAAAATATTTATATAAAAAAAAACGTTCTCAAAAAATTCTGAAAAAAAGATATGTTATGTAAAATAATAAAACAAGCAACTTTTGCCTTGGAGTCATGTTTAAATTCTCAGCCAATCATGAGTTAAAAATAAAAAACCGATTTTTTTTTTTTTTTTTTTTTATTCTTTTTACGAAAAAAATATATGTTCGCGACCTGTTCGCACGAACATGTTCGCGACCTGTTTCTTTGTTTCGTGGATGTTTTGCTAGCTTGTGATGGGGTGTGAACCGACAGTCTGTACAGTTTTCCATCTGGTGTGGGTGAGTGATAGTCTACTTTGATTTTGGCTAAGGTAGATTATCATTTACAGTGTAATCAGTGAGGGGATTCTGCAGACTGTTGAGGGTTCAGCCTCCTGATGAGTCGGTGAAACTCCGATGAGACAGTTTGTCACAGCCCCTCGTTTGTTGTCCTCTTCTCCCTCTCTGCCTACCGTTTATCGGGCAGCTCTGTTTGACGATATATACCGCGACTTCGCTAGCACCCTGCTACGGTTTTCTCCGGCCAGGTCGAGCGGCAGTGGCTGGGGCTGTCACTACGCGGCCATGCTGAGCCTCTAGTGCCAGCGACGTGTCTGGAGTGTATTTTTTGGCTGTGACAGACCTCTCTTTGTTTCGTGGGTGTTTTGCTGGCTTGTGATAGGGTGTGAACCGACAGTCTGTAGAGTTTTCCATCTGATGTGGGTGAGTGATAGTCGGCTTTGATTTTCATCACAGGTATGCTGAGGGCAGTGGTTGGTGCCCACCTCAGGGTATCAGTTGTCGGGCAGTCGTTGATGCTTAACCACAACCAGGGTTAAGGTGGACTATCACTTACAGTGTAATCAGTTAGGGGATTCTGCAGACTGTTGAGGATTCACCCTGCTGATGAGTTGGTGAAACTCCGACGAAACAGTTTGTCACAGCCCCTCGTTTGTTGTCCTCTTCTCCCTCTCTGCCTACGGTTTACTGGGCAGCCCTGTTTGACGATCTAATTTTAATTTTAATTCTTATTTTAAATTTGGTCAAGAATTTCACTGTGAACCTGAGGCAAAACTTCCTCAGTTTATTTTTCTGCATAACATGTTTTTTTTTTCGTTTTTTTTTTTTTTGCTGGGACCTTCCCTGGTCCTTGCACGACCGGGAAGCTGTGACCCAGGCGGCCCGACTGGTAGCCTAGATAAGAAAAAAATATAAAAAAACTCGTAAAACGAAAAGAAAAACAAAGACTCTACAAACAGTAAAAAAACTCTAAAAGCAATTAAGTTGAATAAACACTTAAAAAAACAGATATCATTACAGTTGTATTTGGTGCAACTTTCAGTCTTGGTACATGGTGATAATGACCGTGCGTTCTATTGGGGAAAAACTGTAGGGAGTTTGAGAGATTTCTGACCGAATTCGCATTTTTGAAATGCTTGACCAAAATATACTAGGGTTAGAAATTGTCGGTTTCGAAAATGAAAAAAAAAAAAAAAACCTTGGTTTTGGAATTCCCTAACTTTTCGAATTTTTGTTCTCAGTAATAATTTTTATAAGCTCTGCAGGTTATGTCAAACTACTCTCTTCCCCTGATTACAACACACCCTCATTATGACTGTATCGGGCCAGAAACGTAGCTTGTATGAGGTGGTGCACCAGGGTGGTTGTTGTGTTCGGGACTTCAATGTCTACTCCCTCTGCTGATTTGTTAGAGCCTTGGAATGTGCCGTAACACTATGCAATGCATTGAAAAAGCATTAATGTATTTGTTTGATATTGACACCAAATTCATAGCGTTTCCTTATTTTGTTAAAAGTCAATGTTTTCTTTTGATAATGAAGTAACATAAGCTAGTGCTAGCATTGCCCCTGTCTCTCCGCTGATGTGCGACTTCTTCATCTCCTCTGTGTCATTTGGTTATCCTTTAGAGCGATGCAGTGCAATGGCTGCAGCTAAGAACAGGGTGGGTGAGGAAGCACCATCGCCATCGATCGACCCGGCTGGCACCGACGGGAACATTGCTGGTAGAAAACGGAAGACAGACATGATGCTGGCAGGGAGAAAGCGGAAGACTAGAAAGAAAGGGATCAAACCACTTGAAAGTACGTTCTTGCCCTTCAATGGAACCTCACTACCACTCTTTCTCATTGTATGCTCTCTCTCTCTCTCAGTCAGTCTGTCTGTCTCATCCCTCGCCTTACCACTCTTTCTCACTGTACTCTCTCTCTCTCTCTCCCTCTCTCTCTCTACCTGTCTGTCTTTCTCCTCCCCTGCCTTTCTGGTGTGTGTGTGTGTGTGTGTGTGTGTGTGTGTGTGTGTGTGTGTGTGTGTGTGTGTGTG